AAACAAGGGGAGCTCATTTTCTCCCGCTTCCATCACATTTCCCCAAACCAAACAGACCCTTAAAGTTGCTTTCATGCTTATGCTAAGGGTATAATACTTGGATCAAGGAAAAAGCTAACCGTGAAAACCAAAGGTCTAGGTAGAGTGGTGTTTCATACAAATCTTGAAAATAATAGGACTAATATAACAATCATTTTTTGAGATCCACATTGACCCTACAAGAAAAAAGTAATGGAATAATAGTGTACCATCGTTAAAGTTGTCAGTAGCTTTCTCAAGCTCTGATAGGGAGAAATTCTTCCATGAAGTCTCAAAGAAATGAGGAACTATGTCAGCATCCATTTGTGGTGGCACCATGTTTTTCCTACTTCTTTTCTTGGAATGCTTCCTAAATGAGTATAGAGAGGGAATAGCTGGATGGAATGTTTGCAAGCTCACCCCGGGACCTTTTTTCAATTTCTTGAAAAAACCATACCACTGGGAATGCGTCTTCCCATCTGCGTTAGTAAGCATTGGAGGCAAAAATCCATGCTTTGAAGTTGTTCTTTCAGTTTCACTCAAAAGCTTGTGTGTCATTCCCTCCTCAAGAAACTCCGCCCCGTTGTCCTCCTCTTCAAGAGTTTCCAAGGCATGCTTTTCATGCTCCTCGACAGCTTCTGTTGTCAAGTTTATGTCCTCAGTTTCTCTAGTAAGACCTTTGTTTGTATGATCCTCCTCCAGTTTTAAGCATTGCATCTCTAAAAAAAACATTGTTCAACAACTTGAAGTAAGGGCATTGTTGTAAATCTTCCTTCCAATAGTGTTTCAAAAAATGAACGAAAGGTGATTGAAATGTAATACAAGATGCAAACAAGACATCCAAAACCCTTTATCCAAACATGCATGAGTGCATGACTAAGAGTTTTTCGCTGCTTAGACCCCACCAAGTGACACTTACGCTCCGTTTGGCATTAGCTTTAGCGTTTAACATCGATGTTTTGAAATTGTTATCCAATGGCAGATTTTAGCGTCATTTTTTCAATGAAGCCTTAGATCACACCTAACTCTGAAATTCTAATAATCAAGTATAAAATTTTCCATTTCCTTCCTACAACAGAGCTTGTTCTTCACTAAAATCCCCAACAAAGAAAACATTCTAGAACGTTAAAAGATACAATGGCGGGAGAAAAAAGAACAAAATTACCACCTTCCGCGGTGAGAGATATGGAAGTGCAAAAAAGCAATTTGGGTTCAATGTCAATGATCTCGACATCTTCGTTTTCTTCAGCTGCATCGCCGGAGCCCTCACTGCGAACATTTGACCACTCAATCCAGTTTTTTTGTTAATCAGCCAAAGTAATGAAAATCAAATCCAAATTCACATTTTTTGCATCAGAAAATTGCAACTCAAAGGACATCCATGACCAAATCATGAGCAAATGAAAAAGATAATTGTTTAAGCTCAAAAAGGACTCCAATTTTCAAAAGTTATTCAATTCAGTGATTAAATTTCGCAACCGATTTCTCTTGAAGAAGAAATGAAAATATGATGAAGAACAACAAAGAAAAAATGCAGGGAACTAATTTGCGCCAAATTAATATCCTCAAATGCAAAATTAAAACAGCCAAAAGCTACAGAAAATTTCAGATCATTCAAAACTAAACAGATAAAGCAATGATATGAGTGAAGAAATGCAGGGCATTAATTTGTGCCAGCATAAACACATATGAATGATGATGAAATTGAGGCAGGAAAATACCATGGAGATGAAGAAGCTGAAGATTCAGCGTTTCCCATGGCTCTTCCAGGACATGGAAAACAACCAAACAGGGCCTTAAATTCCTTCCTCCTATGGAACAATTTCAAATTTTAGGTCACAGGAGAAGGAACAAGATTGGGGGTTTGCAATGGGAATTGGAGAAGGAGATGAATAAATGAGAGCCAGAAAGAAAAAGAACGGCTGGCATGTGAGCAACCTTCAAGATTCAGAATCTCCATTCCAATCAAACTCTCAATCAGAGCCAGTCATGCTGTCATTATTTCTCCTCGCCTTTTAAAAAAAATCAAAGAAAACAAGTTATAAAAATTTCCCCAAAATAGCTCAGTTAAAAAAAATAGGATTACCAAAATAGGACTTTATAATTTATAATAAAAAAATTAAGCATCAATAACAAAAAAAACCTCTGCCCAGATCTCTCTCACGTCGCGAGCCTCAGCGCCGCCTGGCGCCTCCATTTTTCCCGCTCACCGGTCACGCAGCGTCGCGGCCCCCTCCCATCACTTCAACGCTCATCCATTCCAACCGCCGCTCCTTCCTGATTGCTCCGGCTCCAGCTTATTCTCCACCTCGAAGTGCATCTCCAAAGACCTGATATGGTGCACTGTCTGCCGCCGCTTCTTCCTCGGGCGGGTTTCTCACAAAATGTATAAAAAAAATTACTCCGTATTAAATTAATACATTTAGAATACATTTCTTGGTTACCTCTAACATTCTCCAAAAAGAGATGAAATCGCTCACCCTGGGCACCCTTCACCCCGACCCGACGGGAATGTAAGAGGAGGTAAATCACGGTGACCCAAGGAAGAACACTTAGCTAGATCATATCCTAGTGCGCACCAGAGACTCCCCCCATTTTTCAGAAGTGGTCGCCCCCACAACGGTCGCTGCCAGGTTTTGATCCTTGGTCATTCTCCAAACTTCACCAAGTGCTTGCCACTTGGGCTACCCGTGCGGGTTTGGTTACCTCTAACATGATTGTTTTCTTGGTGGCCTATAAAGTGTCGTGGAATAGAATATAGAGATTCGATTTCTAAACCTTGACTTCGATGTCTAATGTAATGACATGTGTGCCACTGTGCATCCTTATTTTTTGGCAATGTCCTTGTGACACCAAGGCACTCAAGTAGCACAAACTACAAAACCATGGTGGTGTCGTGACGGCGACAAAGTACAAAAGTGGTTGTGGCAAACAACGATGAATGGCAGATCTTGGCGGCAGCAGATATTGCAATAGCGATGGTAGCGACAACAAGCAGCAACACTGTCAATGGCAGAGGCGGCAACAACAGAGTGTATGAGTGACGATGGGTGACTATTTTTTATAACTTGTACTACTTCATTCGTCCTAAAATTATCTTCCTACTTTCATTTTTCTTCCTTCTAAAATTATATTCCTACTCTAAAAAACCACTACGTAGTATTATTTTATTAAAGGACATTAGTACCCCTCTCTCATTAACCCTTTCCATCAACATGTTTCATGTTTCTCCTCTCTCTCCATCCTCAACTATCTTCATCATCTTCTCTATTTCATCACTTTCATCTCCATATCTTCATCTTCCGTTCCCACTCTCGTCTTCCCTTGTCTTCTTTGTTTCTCCTCTTTTTCTTCTCTTGTCTATATTTACAATGAAGTATAGGTACACCATGACCGCTTCAGATCCAAAAAGGAGGCACCTGATCCACCTTCTATATTTGGCCCTTCCTCTTTCTTTTTGTTGACATGACACGATGAGGGGGGGGGGGGATTAGATCCAATGATGATCTGAAATTTATCTTTTGTGAATAATAATCTGGCAACAATTGAGTTTCAATGATGATTAATGAGATTTGGCGATGTCATTTTTCTAGATCTCGTTATTGCACCTTTATCATGGAAGATGTGGTGGGTTTTTCTCTAATTCTTCTTTCTGTATCAGGAATCTATTTCAAATTTCATTTTATTTAAAATTGTTTACCTATGATTTTGATTTTTGATTTTATTTTGAAATCTATTGTTGATTTTAGAATGGGATGCACCAAGAGTGATGCATCGGGGGGTGGTTGCATCGAAGATGTCTTCTTCGGGAATTTATGATACGGAGTAAACAATATTGTTGGATTGGATAGAGAGTGTATGACCATTTTAGGAAAGTCAAATCATATTTTACCGTCTCTTAAAAATGAGCTCCAATCAAATTGGGAAGTTGGTTTTAGGACGAAAAGAGTATTATTTAAGTTGGTTAGCCAATGGTTTGGAATGGATTAGCATGTAAGTTTTTTTAAAATAAAAAAATTTGTGTTTGAATACTTTTTTCATATTTTATTTCTCATTAGGTATTTCTCTCCCGACTATACCTATGCTTTGGTATAGTCTGCTCGACTACTGAAACGAAGTGCACGATAATCAAGAACGAAAGAAACACGATGATGGCAACAACAAATATTGCATCAGATGAACGGAGCGCAAAGTAACCCTATTGTGAATCCCAAGGACGAAGGTGGTGGAGCATTTTGAAGTAGTGCATGGAGGTGGTGGTGGTCTGTTATGACATCGGAAGTATTTTCTAAATGAATACTCCCTCCGTTTCAAAAAAATTTACACGTTTCAAAAAAATTGTGTCCCACAATCTCTTACCCATTTCTATTAAAAAACCACTTTTAACCCTTACTTTTTCAAACCCTACCTATCACATCATACCTTTTTCCTAATAATCTACACATCACATCCTACTTTTATTCATCATATTAAGGATATTTTTGGAAAGTCAACACAAAATTATTACTCTCTTAATTTCAACTTTAGTCAAAATGAATAACACTTAATGGGACGGAGGGAGTATTTAATACCATACCACGGTCTTTTTGACATTAGTTTTTGGATAATGCTATTTGTACCCAAAAATTTGTACCTCATTTTGTACACCGCAGGGATGCACTAACATTTTATATTGGTGTAATGCTAATTTTTGTTAATGTACCAACACTTTGTGTCATTGTGAACCATAAAAATATTATTGATGAATACCTTTAAATCTTTAATATACAACTGAGATACCGAGTACAAATTTGGGGTACGTTTCTTAGTTTTTTACAAAATTTGTATTGGTGTCATATGAAGAAAAAAAATACGGATCAAAAGAGGCGGCCACCTCCGTCCGACTCACCTTCACGCGTCGTTGTTTGCGAAACCACCCGCTCCTTTCCCCACCCCCTTTCTTCCTCGCCTCCTCCTATATAACAACCTTCCCCCCATCGCCATTTCCACCATTTCTGTGAGCTCGTATTTCCAGCTTGATTCCATTAGATCATAATAACATCACAACAGAGCGGAAAAGGGAAATCGAATTTCAGCCACCCCATTTCCTCATTCGCTCTGTTATCTGCTTTCTTTTTCCCCCCTTCCCCATTTAATCTCTCTTAGTTCTTTTGCTCTGTTTTAGATCTTCTGGTGCTGATCTTTAGGATCTTGTGAGTTTTTCTTTGTTTTCTCGTTTGAATTTTTCGGAGGGGGGAAAAAATGGGAACGGAGGTTATGATACCCCACGATTGTTTGGTCCAGAGGGTTACCCCGTTTCATCGCCGGAAAATCGGACACGGGAACGGGAACGGCGCTTTTTGTCCTCGTTACCGGAAGCCGGCGGGTCGGTCGGAGAAGAGGAGGTGCGGCGCGGAGACGAAGAGATCTCCCAGCGCCGGGAACTTGAATCCCGGCGAGCTCGTGATGGGCCGGGTCACGATTCTGCGGCGGGGGCAGTCGATGGGCTCGCTGAACTCAAAGATCCGGGAATCCGTGCCGGCGGAGACGACTGAGAGAGTCAGCGGCGATGATTTATGCCGGATCCGAATCGGCGACGTTTACGCCGGATCGGCTTTCTCGAACTCGCCGTCGCCGAGATCCTTGCCGGTGCCTTCATTCTTCTCCAACCCGAACAGAGAACAAGACGGGCTCGACGATTCGGCTACCCGGTACTTGAGACGGGTGCTCCGACTCGAATTGTGAATTCGGATCCGGGTACATCTTTTTAGAAATCAACTGGCAGCCCCTGTATTTTCAGCGTCTTAAAAAAAGTCCCCAAAAAAGTTCTTATTTTTCCTTCTCATCTTCATCGGGGAGGGATTCAAGAGGGTGTGAGAAATGAAGGACCAAACAAAAACTATGTAATTAGGGCTGCCTATTTTTCTATTAATTATTATTAATCGAGCATGTATTATTACTAAGAAAGTATTAACTTGTGTAATTAAGCTGGAATGGCATGATTGTAATTCAGGAAGAGAATTTGGTTTGTGAAGAAGAGCAAACAATCCTTGAACTGGATATCATTGTGTTGAATAGGGGTAAGCAAAATACTGAAATTTTTCGAAAAAATTGAGATTATCGAATCAAAAAAGGTCTAACTGATAAAATATCGAAAACAAATTGTATTGTACCGAACTGAATAGTTGGATTGGTCGGTCCGGTATTTGAGATCAGTACGAGACAATTTATATCAAAAAATTTCGAACGAAACATACATACAAATACATTATAAAAATAACAAATTCTTTTATATTTTTTCATTACAAATAATTTGATTTTTAAAAGTTAGTTCAAGTGTGAATTATAAATAATCTTTTATTTATATATTCATTTATTTGAATTTTAATTTTCTCAGAGTCATATGAAAAACTAACATATATCTGAAATATTATCTACTCACTCCGTCCTAAAACTTTCTTCCCGGTTCGCAAAACGAAGAAAAATCCCAAGTTTTTTCAATCTATTTTATTTAAATATTGGTATAGAAATAAAAAATAAAAGATACATATTTAAAAACTACATCAAAAGTTTAACAAAACAAGTGCTGACAAGAATATTTTATTTTATCATATAGGCCATGAAAAAACACAAATAAATATAAATTCCCGTGAAGTTGAAATAGTGCTCTGGGAAGAAAGTTTTAGGACGGAGGGAGTATTATTACTCGTTTTCTTTAGTTTGTGAAATACTCCCCCTGTCCTCTAGTTTTTGTTCACTTTTGGCTTTTGAAACTGTTCATCTAAGCACTTTAACTCATCAAATTTTCTCAATGTGTAAGCCTAAATATAGTCACGTGTGATCTTGTTTGATTCGTCTTAACATATAGATTATCAATATATAATTTCTATAATTTTTTAATATAGAAATTACAAGATAAAATGGATTAAAGAAGTGCATTGAATGATGTGCAAAAATGAAAGTGGACAAATACTCAGAGACGGAGGGAGTATGAAGTATAAATTAAATAAAATTTTATAAATAATTTTGCATTTAATTATATACTTTCTCCGTCGTATATCTTTCTTCTCGTTGCGCAAAACGAAGAAAAATCTCAAGTTTTTTTAATCTATTTTATTTAAATATTGGTATAGAAATAAAAAATAAAACATATATATTTAAAAACTACATCAAAAGTTCAACAAAACAAGTGGTGACAAGAATTTTTTATTTTATCATATAGGCCATGAAAAAACACAAATAAATTCTTGTGAAGTTGGAATAGTGCTCTGGGAAGAAAGTTTTAGGACGGATGGAGTATTTTTTAATTGTTAATCTTTCTTATGTGAATGTATTTTCAATTTTTTTAGAATAAAAGTTCTGTACATTCAAAAGTGTAAACTAAGTAGACATATATATATATTCATCCCAATATTTATCGAAACCGAACCATTCGAAACATATCAAATTGAGATTTCGAGCTCGTGACCAGTACAATGTAAAACTTCATACCGAATCAAAATATTTAGAACGATATCGGTACGAACTAAATATCGTATCATACTGCACCACGCTCACCTATACTGGTAAAAGTTATGGTAACTTTCATTATTCAATAAAATCAATTATAGTTAAACTATCAACGTATACCAAATTTGAAAGTCTTGGGTCATTATTTTAAAAAAATGTATTTAGTGAAACAATATTTCCAAATATCTCTACAATGACTTACTATAATATAGGAATTTGATCAACAAAATCAATTTTAAGTGGTTAAAGAGCTAATAAAAAAGGACTTAGTTAATAAGCGTTGATAGATATAAATCTATGGTTGAACCGAGGCAGTGAACGGCTTGCAACGAGGCGAAGATGGCATGTTGCGAAGGGGTTCCAATGAGACGATAATAAAGTGATTAGGATCGGAGCAATGGGCCTCAAGAGACGTGAACCAACAATCAAAGCTTGTGGGAAGATGGTTAGTAAAGACTTGGTGATTTCCCTACAAATATACATGTAAAAGTGTAAAACCTTAATTACAAGGCAAATTCTATGATTGACATCTGGTCTACTATGGACCTACATATGAATAAAATAAGTATTTTTTACTACATAAATAAGCATTAATTTAGAGTAATTAAATTCTCAAAATAGTTCTTTGTAATAAGGTGTTTTCCCAATTCAGTCCTCAATCAATTTTAATTACCTACCTTGTCCTCTATAATTAAAGTTTATTCTCAAGATAATCCTTCATAAATAATGTTACTCAAATGAAAATTAATTGGGAGATATTTTGGTAATTTGACCATCCAAATTTAAAATATATTCTTGAAACAGTCATTTCTGTACAACTAAATCTAAAATTGAAAAATACATTGACTATAAATAATTCATGAATTATTTAAAACTTATAAAAAATCTCTTAAATTTCAAATCAAATATACATCTTTAATTAGAAAAAACTATTTTCGGAATGCACTTTATTATAAATGATCATTTTAAGAACTAATTCTAAATTTAGCGTATAAAAAAAATACCAAAATACCCTCAATTAATCCTCATTTGAGTAATACAGGGTATTATTTACGAAGGACCATCTTGGGAATAAATTTCAATTATAGAGGATCACGTAGGTAATTAAAACTTATTGAGAATTGATTTGGGAAATACCTTATTACAAAAGACTATTTTGAAAATTTACTCTTTAATTTATTCTTAAACATAATCAAGATTTGATATCTTGCTATATCAAATAAATGAGATATTTTGATATCTTTGAATTTGGCAGATATTTATTTACAGTTTTTGATCTTTCTCTCAACCATTACCAATTGTCATCGTCTACTTATCGTGCCTCATTTGTCATTTGGGATGACAATGGGTCAGGTTTGTTCGAGTTTGAATATGTTGAAATTCGCTCCGACTTAATTCGGATATGGGTTTAATTTTGGCAGGTCGGTTTTGGATATTTATTTTTTCGGTTTGGATTTGGTTTAAGATTCAGTTGGATCGGTTACGGTCAAATTCGAGTTTGAATACTAATAAAAGATTTCATGAAAATTTTTAGATTGAAATACATTAAAATTTTAAAAAAATTAAAGACGAATAAAATTAAGACATTAAAAAAATAATTATGACCGAATGACCATCAAAAAAATCAAACAATAAGTTTTAACTAATAATATACCGAGTACAAAGATAATAAAAATAGGGTGACACACAAGAATTATCCACAATAAAAAAATAAAGTACAAAGAAATAACCTAAATTTTAAAACATTCAAAACATTTGTATCTAAAATACATGGAGTATAGGAATTTAGGGTTATCAAAAATAATTATTTCTCTGTGTTTATTACAGGCTAAATTATAAGCTACTTATAAGTCAAAATAATAAGTAAGTCTTACCAACTAAACTTTAAGTTAGTTTTTTCTTTTATCCGTCTTGATTAGATTATTTAGAAAAGTATTTCTTATCATTTGTGAATATTTCAAATGACTAATTTATCATTTAAGTCATTTTACTTTCATAAAAGAATATTTAACTTATAAACAACTTATAAATTAAAAACTAATTATCATCAATAAATCAATAAACACCAGCACGAACAAATACCTATATACTCCGTATATATATCATCTTTTTTTATTTATTTAGGAACGCATTCAAAGAGAGACATGTATTTGAAAAAGTGCAAAATCATAGAGGTGAAATGCAAAGTTGAAAAGACAAAGCCATGCAAAGTTGAGGACAAAAGCACACTATATTTGCCCCTCCAATTTAGGGAGGAGATTACCATAAGCTGACTATATATTTCCATATCCCTTTTTTAATATTCAAACTCATCAACACTTTTCTTTAATAATTATTAATTTTCTCTGATAATAATTTAAATCATTTTTAAAAAAACAAAGTGGAGATATCTTCAAGCTTGTCAATTGAATTAATTAAGAAATACTAGACTCTTTCCATCATCCACTATATATTTAAAAACAAACCTGAAAACCATATGCATTAAAATATTTACAAATTAGATATTTCAATAGTTTACCACCCTTAAACAAAATAAATATAAAATGAGTAGCTCAACAGGAAAAAACAACACCACCGCCGCCTCCGCCACCACCACCACAGAGAAGGCATTCGCCGGCATCGGCAACCTCATAAGGCTCCTCCCCACCGGCACCGTCTTTGCATTCGAGTTCCTCAACCCGATCCTTACAGACAACGGCACCTGCTCCGCCGCCGCCCACAAGTGGTTCTCCGGCATCCTCATAGCCCTCTGCAGCCTCTCCTGCGCCTTCTCCTGCTTCACCGACAGCTACACCGACGACGAGGGCCGGACCCGGTACGGCATTGCCACCGCGAAGGGGCTGTGGCCGCCCCCGGACGCCGCCGGCGACACGGCGGCGCACCGGCTCCGGCCGGCGGACTTCGTCCATGCGGTGGTCACGATGGCGGTCTTTGCGGTGCTGGTGCTCCTCGACCGGAACACGGTGATGTGTTATTTCCCGGAGTGCGAGACGACCCAGAAGAAGCTGCTCATGGTGCTGCCGCCGGTGGTCGGCGCCGTCGCCGGCTCTGTGTTTGTGATGTTTCCTCAGAAACGCCATGGCATAGGGTACCTTCAGAACTTTGGTGACAACAAAGCTGAATAAGTTTTAATTTGTTTTCTTTAAAAAAAATAAAGATTTAATTCGTTAATTACTCATGAAAAATACTCATAGTAAATAAAACAGAGTAAATACATTCAAAAATTATATACTGCCGTAATACTGAGTAGAAAATAACTACCTGATCGGTATATATGTAATCATGCGAAGTAAAAGATATTATATAAAAAATTACTCCGTATTTATTTAAGTTAATGTATTGTATGGTTTGTGAATTGGTGGCTATTTAGGGCGAGCAAAAATGTGAAATTTGTTTCGGAACAAAGGGGTAAAGGCATGTTTTCTCGAAAAAAAATCTGATATGATATGCCTATAATTATATTTAAAGCTAATTGTAAGCTAATTGTAAACTGATCCAATTCCAATAAGAAAAAGTACTAAGTAATAAAAATAAGGTCATTTTTCTCCTAAACTTATTTTTTTTACTTATTACTTATTTTTATTGGAAACAGATCATATCAGACCAAATCATATCTGAAATAGCTATAAATTTAACTACATTCAAATCAAAACAGATACAAATTTGTTCCAATCAGAGTAGTTAAAGAGAGCATGGCCTAAGTTGAAGAAAACATGACTTAAATCCGACAAAACAGAAACAAAACAAAACAAAACTCATGATCAAATACAGTTACACTGAAACATAAAACTTTAACTTCCAGAAAAAGAATTCAAAACTGCAAAGAACTACAAGCAATTCAGAATTACAGATGAAACAACAAATTAACTTCAACTGAAAACAAAGTGTCTGTAGCAAATTATGCTCTAATAGAAAATTAAAAAAAAAAATTTCCTAATTGACAACAAAACCTAGTTCATACAACAATGCCTCTGTTGTATTAGTACATATTCTCTCCCCTGGACTTAGTATACGTTTGGCATGAACTTCGGCATTTTGAAAAGACTATGTAACAACAGCATTTAACCTTAGGGTTTTAAGGTTAATTTGCGCCATTAAAAATTTGGTGCAAACAGGACCTTAATCAGCGAACAATGTATCTAGGAGATTGGAAGGCGATCCTTCTCTGCCAATCTCATCAAAGAATCCATTTGAAGCGTTTTCCCTTTTCAGTTTTCGCTCTTCAGAAAGAGACTCTGCACTTTCTATGCAGAGGTTTCTCCTACCCTGCTTTGCAGGCCTTTCAGCAACAACATACTTGTTCCCTTCGCGTGATCTCTCGGGGAATTTAGCCCAAGCTTTAAAAAAGTGAAAAATGTCATTACTCATGAGCTTTTCCTCCATATTAATAATAAGAAATTAAGAATAACAATGCTCCCATGCGTATGAATTTGTTTTCAATTAATTCATTTTTTACACATTATTAAAACCCACAAAATGTCTTCTTTGTCCATTTAGAGCCTGTTTTGCAAACACTTTTCTTGGCCATAAGTTCACCAAACAGTATACTGTTTTAAACAAAAAAAAGTGATGTTACTTTATCAGCTGAAATTAAAGGATTCGAAATTTAGACCATCACCTTTACATTCTAAAGTATCTAATTTAATTTATCTAGAATTGTACAAGTATACAAATAATACAATAGTCAACATGCACATATGTTCCTACCACAGTTAATACAAATCCCTGACTATGTGCTCTCCCAATGCCTATGAATCTAGGATAGCTCCTATATCAAATTTTATGAACATAAATAGGATTCACATAACACACAGGTTAATACATCATTCTAAGAAAATGAGTGGTAAAATCTTACTAGTAACAATGCATTCAGCAAACCAAACGTCTCATAAATTTTATATGCGTACTTATTTCACTTTTCTATGAACACCCTCTGAAACCAGGTTTTAGATTCCTTCCCATGTGTATCAGAATTCAGACTTCCTTTTGAATTCACTTTATGGATCATACGCTAACTTGAGTTAGTACTTCCAAGCTCTTGGATTCATTTACTACATCCGTCTTTATTTTAGCTCCATGCTTTCTTTTCTTGTGTCAAAAACTCAAAATGGTTCTTTAAAGTTTAAACTGTATGCGTTTCTTTTATAGTGAAGTAGCAGCGAGTCAATGGAAACATCCGCTCTATGTTTTATACATAGGAGTCAAGTTGCATACATCCGACCTCCCCTACCCCGCAATGGGGGGGGAGCCCTTGAGGAACTGGGGTAATGCCGTTGCTAGTTGCTACTATTGGTTAGTGCAACCTTAGGCAGATTATTTTTAAGATCTAAAACAGCAAATAGGGGCACTAAACAGCCACGAAATCACTAAAAACAAGAACGATAGTTACCTCCAAAGTGGTGGAGAACAATGGAAGCAGCCACAGTGACATTCAGAGAAGCCGTCCCGCACCCATACTGCGGAATGTATACAAAGAAGTCACATATCTCACATTCCTTTGCCGAAAGCCCTGTTCCCTGCACAATGTTTTATGAAAGCCATTCAATCATCATCATCGTCATCATCATCATCAAATTCTATATCTTTCCGTGCAACGAAACTGAAAGTTTGAAGAAGAAAAAGCTCAAAAATGTTGGAAATTGATTTTTTTTTGTACACCATGTTGAAAAATGTTATAGTACCTCGTTCCCTACACAATGTTTTATGAAAACTATTCAATCATCATCATCATCATCATCATCATCATCCTATATCTTTCTGGGCTACCAGACTGAACATTTTGAAGCAGAAAAAAGCTTTAAAAAAATGTTGAATACTCCGTAAATGTTTTTAACCTCGTTGCCAAGGAGGAAAGCAGTACTCCTTTTGAAAGGGTGCTGAGTTACAGAGACTGCACTTTCAGTAATTTCCACTCCACATATATCGCAATCTCTATCCTGGACACAATTTTTGGTTTTCAAATACAAACTTATAGATCGATGATTATCTAAGGGATGGAGGGAGGGAGACTGAGTTTCTCATCACCGTGAGGAAGACTTTAGCGTCGGAGAGGGAGTGAAAGTGGCGGAATCGAAGGTGAGAGGTGGATCCGTGGCTGCCGAAGGAGTTGAAGTCTCGCCGGCCGACTAGAATCAGTTCGGAGACGCCGAAGGCGGTGGCGCTGCGAGCTAGTGTCCCCACGTTGTGCCTCTTCGCTATGTTGTGCACCACCACATAGCTCTCTATTTCCTTCCTCTCCTTCTCCTCCTCCATCTCTATCTTTCGTCGAATCTAACGGTGCAGGTACAATACCACTGAGCGGCGGCGGCGGCGGCTGCAGCTCCTCCGCCTGCGCTTACTGGGAATTTGAGCCGGCGGCTCGAGGAGGTGCCGATTATTGAAGGGCACTTGAGCTACGACGTCGTTCACGTTATTGGGCCTGAAGACATGAATTAGTTGATCCATATACATTTATTAAGCTGAAACTCTGAACCGGCCCATAATAGTTTTTCAAATGTTAACAGTCCGCAATTCCGCATTCCCTCAGTCCCGATTGTCCAAGTTTAAATTGTTTCTTCCCTCTTAATATAATCATTTTTTTTTTGACAATTTAATTTGTAACAAAAAACTTGTCTAAAATATTAGCTATATTTCACTTATTTTTTTTATAACAAGAGTCTCGTTAGATACATAGTTGTTCGATGGGAAATATTTGTATCAATTGTTTGAATTTCTTTGATAAATAGAACAATTTATTTGATAGTTTTAAATGGGAAAAGAGTATAATCGGTGAGTTTTATGTTGAGTTTTAGACTCACTTCTTATTTGGATGTCCAAGTGAAGTCCAATACTTAACAAGCTCATGGTTTGATGAAATAAGAGGCAGGAGTTCATTAGGACTCATTGAAACTGAGAAAAACAAAAGAGTAGAGTAGAAAATTCGAGAAAAAGAATGAAACTATTTCATTCTCAGGTTTCTACGCACAACATTCTTTGAGCTGACGTTTGGAGGGTCAAACAATGTCCAACTATCCTAAAATTCAGGGGCAGGTTCGGGACATTGAATTTTATTTCCACCGGTCAGTTTTTAATTTGAAGGTCTGTAGGCAGAGATATCCGCATGTGAACAGAGGCTATATTTTTTGGTTTTTTCAATATATGTTGTTTGCTCCTTTGTTGTGGCAGTATATTTTCAGTATGTTTATACTGATTTGAGCCCTAGTCTGAGACACTCTTGTACCCTAATTTTTGTCATAGTGGAGCTTATTTGGTGGTCTTTGTGATTGTGGTTGTATTTATTACTAAATTCTTATTATCATTTTGAGAGATTGATTAATAAATTTTTTAAATATAAAAAAGTGATATGAGTTACAAAATAAAAAAATTTATATGATAGTGGACAAAAGCCGATGAGAGGCAATGATTAAGGAAGACATCAAAACCCTAAATTGATATTTGATTATGTCTAAAGTCCAAGGAACTAACACCTCGTTTAAGAAAATCTTATATTTTTAGACATCAAATTTGGATGTGATTCATTGAGTATAAGCTGCAACAAGAGGTGTACAGCTCTGAGAACTTGTTTAGTTTCATACCTAGCAGATCGATCATAGAAGTCATTCGTATCTTACAAGTATTGATGGAAGAGTATAGAGTTATAAAGAATGATTTTCATAAGGTGTTAACTAATCTCGAGAAGATATACAATAGGATGTCAAGGGAGGTCTTGTGAAGATGTATTAAGTTGAGTGAATTTTCGATACATACATTCGTGCAGTCTAAGATATGTACGACATGACAAGGAATATGGTAAAGAGTATTTATTGGGTGGCTCTGGGCCTTATCTCTGTTGAGATGTGGTTACACTAGTGATATGTCCTTTGCCCTTTCTTGTTTGTTCTGGTGATGAACGTCTTGACACTTGAAGTTTAATGAGAGGCTCCGTGGTGTATATTTTTTGTTGACAATATTGTGCTGATAGATGAAGACTGTGATGGATTACATGACAAGTTGGGACTATAGTGTATTTCCCTATAATTCAAAAGATTCAAGCTAAGTATGACCAATACTCAATACATGGGATGTTATTTTAGTGGTCAAGAGACAAAATCATGAGTGGAAGTTAAGATTGATACTTATCCAGAAGGTAAAAATCTTTTGATATATAGGCCCGATCACTCAGGCGAATGAAGAGTTGGACAAGGGTGTTGCACATTGTGCTAGAGCAATTCGAGCTTAGTAGAGATTGGCTTCAAGCAGAGGCGGATCCAGGATTTTTGGACCATGGGGTCCTAAATTTTCTAACTTTTGAGTTTTTACCTTGAGCTAATAATTCATACTTCGTATCTTTTAGAAATAAACTCAAAAAATATTTTCTATTTAAATCAATGTTTAAACCCTAAGCAGCAAAAAATCAGTGTGGCCACCAGATTGCAAGTTTTTTGTGTCAATAAAGGTTTCTAGGGTTTTTCAAGGGATAGCCCAAACTGGTTGTGAGTTCGGTTTTCAAATTGACCTGCCCACCCCGATTTTATCCAATTTTAGAGACCTGAATATACATAGTATCATGATTATTACTAGTATCTTACAAAGGCATTTTACAATTGGTCAAACCAAAAATAAACAAAAATATACTTCTTTCCACTAATTAGTTTAGAAAGAAATTCACTGTATGAAGGTTTGTAAACTTTTTTTGAAGATAACTATGAAATATCTCATTTTTAATACTGAGATGAACATCGAATATTTTCTTTCTTAAGAGAGAGCCAACCTCTAAAGATTCAAAATTGAAATGGCTTTTGAATTTTTGTTGATGGGTAAAGATTGAGTATGTACTTGGGACACTGAAATATTAGTACTCCGTATTAAATCCATATAACTTCCACAAGATTTTGGTTCTTGGATTTTGAGTGTTTTTTCAAATATATTAGAATTGTAAATTCAATTTTAAGAGACAATCATTAATGATACATTTTAGATTTACGATTAAAATGACACTAAAAATTTGTCCTTAAACAAATTTTTTGAGTGCTTACCTTTAAACAATTTATAGTCTAAAATTAACAATAAATTGAATTCGTAAATTATATTAGTAAAATTAAAGCTAATACATATATGGACCTACATCGGGGTACGTGGGGTCCCGGGACCCCATGGGACTCTTAATAGATCCGCCTCTAGCTTCAAGGGTTTTGTGCGATATGAAGATTCTAGTTCAAATAAAAAGTACTTTGTAAGTTCTACTGGTTCGTAGTCAGACCAACTATGCTCTGTTATCCAAAGTGCTAGGCAATTAAGAAAACCCAAGTTTGTACCCAAAATATGAGGGATGTATTTTGGCACAGTGACAAGGATATCCCCCAATGTGTTTTTATCCCGTGTTTGAGTTCTACCTCTACGGATTTATGAGGTTGATATTAGTTTGAAGACATTAACCAAACATGCCCTTAAAAAACATTTTCAACAAAACATGCCATGATGTCTCCTTGCCAAACAGCTCTATTGTAGCACACTTTTGCAGCGACACATAACGTCCGGATCTGTCGAGACGCCGCCGGTTAGGAGCCGGCCACCGCAGCAATTGACTCGAGACTGCCGGTTCAGGTGATTTGTCTCCTTTATCTTCCATTAGTAAATTCTAGTCGTATGTTTTCCCGGCGGTGTTCAGGTAAACTCGTGTGAAAAGCTCGTATCTAGGTTTCAGTTTTTGATTCATTATTTCCCATCGATGAGAAATGTGGTTACCATTGATTGACTGGTTGTTGAACAAATCAAACTCTATTTTATTCAGAATTTCAGACCACCCGGGCAAGAAGATTGTTTTTGTTTTTGCTGTTATTATTATTATTGTTGTTGTTGTTTTTTTGACTGAATTTAGAAGTCCACAAGATTTAATCCAAATTGAAGCCAAAAGATTTTGATTGTACAATGAACTCTGAAATATTTATAGTTCCCATGGGAATTCAACTCCCCTGACCCCAATCAAGTAGTGAAAATGAAATCAACCAAAGTGAAGCCATTATCTTTTCCAAAATTTATTAAGAATTTGGGTTCCGGGACATTCCAAGTATCCAAACAGGGACGATTCGGGGACAAGAAGGGGCACTAATTTGAAGAATCTGTGCAACTTAGCTCTAACCATCAACTGAGTGAAAGCTTTCTTGTGGGCTTTTTAAGCACTTGACCTTTTGGTTAAGTTGATTTTGTGGCATACAATGGGTCTGGAAAGAGCCATTTGGCTGCCCCGGATTCGGGGCGAATTAACACGAGTGAATCGGGAATCTGCCCTAATTGCAACTTTTTATGAATTAGGACTAGGTTTGGGTGGAGGTAGATTAAGATCATAATGGCAGTTAAAATTAGGGTAATTTACCTAAATAAGACTAAAACATAATGACTTTCTCAATATAGGACCATATGTTTTTATTTCCTAATGTAGGACCATTGGTCATTATCTATTAGTCATTATTCAACTAAATGTTCAGTATCACTTGGACATTATTCTTCCCACTAGTCATTATTAAGTCCTATATAGGGATTAACAAAGTTTAAGTCCCATCTTGGGAAATCACTTATGTTTTAGTCCTATTCAGTGCAAATTTCACTTAAAATTAAGATCAATAGAAGATAAGTGATTCGGAGTTGATATAGTCTTATAGATGTAATGTTTCATAGAATACTAGAAACAATCTATTTACTTCTTTCTGTGTACACAAAACATGAGGGAGGATTTGTAGGGTAGGGTTACCTTTTTCTTTGACCGCCTTGATGTGATGATACACTTACTAAAAAAACTTCATAGAATTTAGGAACCAAATAAGAGATTTATTCTTATTCAAATGGAGAATTTTTCAACTAAGACTTGAGATTCTACCCTTCTAGAATTTCTAATCCATTTTGCTTTCATGGGAAGCAATACTCAAGTTCTAGAAAGTTATTACTAATGTATCCAACAACAACAACAACAGACTCACAGTAAAATCCCACAAAAAAATTGGATTTGAGACAAGGGCTTGTGTAAGTAGATTTTACCTGGTTACCCTTACTAGGTAGTAGAGAAGCTACTTCCAAGAGGTCCTGGCTCAAAGTTATTACAAATCTACTCCTTAAGAATTGTAATTGTGTCACCTCTTTGGTTCAATGGTTTGTAACTTATTAGAGTAATAGGAGACCCAGATCTTCCCTGTAATTCTAACTCAAAACATACGAGTTTTATTTTTTAACATATGCTAATTTTTAAAATTTATTTATTAGGTTGAAAACAACACATTATTAAATTCCCAAGCACATACCAAACAGAATCATCAGCTCGGTGTTAGCGGATATGGAGTCTGTGACGATGGGCACTCAGCAAAACAGGAATCAGATTCAGCCCGGACAGCCGTTTCACCAAATGGATACGGATGAAGATGACGAAACAGTGAAGCAACTCCAAGAATGCTCTGTACATTACCTTGCCTTACAGGTGATCAAATAAATGATCATCCATTTTCTTTAAATTTTTAAAGGATTATTTTGCCAAAAAAGAACCCTCCCTTAATGCATTAACGGAGGCGATGATCCTTTGATATATTTGCAGGATTGCCTTGTTGAAAACAACCGCAGCTGGAAATCTTGCCAAAATGGTAAATCTTTCCCAACCTTCAGTTTAATAAATTCCTCAGAAAAGGGGAAAAAAGAAAGAAAAGAAAATAAACGATTTATAACTCTGGAATTTTTATTGCAGTAGTTCAAGCTTTGAAGGCTTGCAATGAGAAGAGAAATATCAAGAAGGGGAGTTAGTTGATTGCTAAGAAACATTTTCTCTTTCATTTTCAATGCGAATGAGCAATGAATAATAATGCTGATAATAGAAACCGTTTTCGTGCATCGTCGCTTCTCAAATGTTGCATGGATTATTATTACTCTGTATTATTATTACCAGGCATTATTATTATTATTATTATTATTATTATTATTATTATTATTATTATTATTATTATTATTATTATTATTAAAGAGACTTGCATCTCTAATACTTGGTACTATGGTTGGTTCAAGGAATCTGGTAACAAATAAAAAAGGAATGATTTTTCTCATTGAAATGGGGAAGATTTGGTTCCCCCTTAGTATAATTTGTTTTTCATTTTTTGTCCTTTCACTTTTTCTATTCTTTTTTTTTCTTTTCTAACTAGACTAATTTTTTTAATCACATTTTTTCCTTCTCTTTTAAATTCTCAGAACCAACCATAGTTTTGTAGATCTATTAGGGTTGTAAATGGATAACTGAAAAATTGATTACTATTTGCATCTGTATCTGTTTGTACGAAAAATATCTGCATCCGTTAAAAGTGGTTATTATACATATTCGATTGGTAAACGAATACAGATTTTGTTATCATACATCTGACCCGTTTATAATCCGCTCCGCATTGACATCCGTTTAAGTAACTATTTATCGATGTATCTGATCCGTTATATATAGTTTTTTCTAATTTTTTATTTTTATATTTTGTTTCTCTATTAATATTGCAATGTATAAGACATTTTTATATGCAAAATATATGTGTAAACACAAAAATAAGTGTAGACATATAAAAATTATGTGTGTATATGTATTATACATATCTTTCTATCATATGAAGTTGTCGTATAATATCATAAATTATAAAAAATAAGAAAATAATTACTCCGTATATGATAAGAAATTATAGTTGACTTGATGATATTTGGACTTTAAGTTAATTAAAAATTAAAGTATTGTTTACTTTGATTTTAAAAATTGAAAACAGATACAGATATATTCGTATCCGACCAGTATTCGACAGATGTGGCTACAATTTTGATTTTTAGTATCTGTCAAGATCCATATCCGAATTTGATATCCGACAAAAAGAAACAAATATGGACTTGGTAATTACATATCCAATCTGATTAATATCTATTTACACCCCTAAGATCTATTAATTTTAAATTTTTAATCCCACACCATTTTTCATATGAAATAATTTAAAATAACTTCAATTAAATATCGTAAATCGAAATACATAATTCAAATTAGAAGGGAGAAAGTGCCTACCTTCATTTGTTAAATTTTGGGCCCCTTCAAATAACTTTTATGAAACCAATTGTTGAAAGTTGAAAACTACAAACAAGAACACATCCAAACCTTTTGGTTAATTAGTGCTAATCTAGTAAGAAGCATTTTCAACAGCTCTACTTCTTGGTGCTGCTATGCATACACAGAATAGAATAGAGGCGTGTTTGGCAATACAGATATTACCGATATGCTCAAGTCCGAGGGGGCAAAGAAAATTTGCACAATAAAAAAATGAAACAAACAACCCCCCCTCCAAAAAAAAGTTTCCATGCCATTTTTCCCTTGCATTCCCTGCCCGTCTCCGGCAAAGCAAACCACCTGCTACACACAAAAAAGCTCAGTCAAAACTCCAAGTGAACTTTTTGGTTTCACCCAAAACTAGAAAACACTGGTTTAGTTCTAAGCCGTTCTTTGCTTTGGATTTTACTGAGTTTGTTGTTGTTATGTTTTTTTTATAGGTCTAGTTTGGTTGAGGGAATTTCGAAGGGGAGGAAAGGTTTGTGTTTTACTAATTTATACTCTCTCCACCCCGATGCGTATTTGCCCACTTTGGTTTTTGCACATAGATCAAGGAAAAGGAATGATCATAATGCCCTTTGTGTATTTACATATAAGCAAGAATAAGGATTGATTGAGTAGTAAGTGTAATATACTTGGGCAAAATGGTAAACTAGTCCTTTACTCATTTGCCCTATAAAGAAAGTGGACAAATAATACTTATTGGGACGACCCAAAAGGAAAAAGTGGACAAACCCATTGGGGCAAAAGGAATATATAAGTATATGTCAGGCTCGAATTAGGAAACAAACAATACCTTTGTTAGATAATGTGTTTCTTTATAAATTTTCATCTACAAGTCCTTTCCAATTCCAACCATGTTAGAATAAGTTAATAATATGAAAAGATTAAGATTACCATTTTCAGACACATTAAAACAAGAAATTGTGTTAATGTTACTGCAATGTAAACAAGAAACAAACAGCAGATTAGCTAGACAGACACTGAGAAAAGACAAAAAAAGGGTGGTGGGGTGGGGGGTGGGGGGTAATTGAAACTCACAAATCCATAATCAGCTACGAAACAGCAAAGGGCGACCTTTGATTTACGGATGGATTTAGTTCAGAGGCTTGGCCACCTCTCACCGACGGAGAAGTTTCGGATGCAGTAGGAGTGAAAAAATTCTCAGGCATCCTCTCACTGGGTTCCTTATTTCCTTCAGTACAGTCAGTGGTTCTAACATCTGACTATCACACAGGTTCAAGATTGTACTAATAATGACAAACCATTTTAAATCTAAACATGGCACCATCATCATCAACAACAACAAAGTAAAGTCCCAAAAAAAGTTGGGGATTTGCAGTTTTCTATTGAGAACAGAGAAAAAACCTGTGTGTTGCACCGCTTGGCATGGACTTAGTTGTTGGGACCCATGCTACAAGTTTTTTTTGTAGCGTGGGACCCATCAATTTCGTGCAAATCAAGCGGTGTCAACTAGTGATGCCCAATGCTAGTGATACTAATAGACAAGACGTAATAGTTGCTAGAAGAAGAATAGAAGCATTGTATAACAAATATGAGAAATCATACATGGAATAAGTCCTTGATGCATACAATGATGATTGTGATGTCATCCGTTCGGGTTTCATGCTCTAGCCATCGCTTGTAAGATTCTGCAACAATTTCTGAACATGCTTCTCTGGGATCTGCGTATCGGTTTGCCTACCAGATATTAATGTATAGATGATATTCTTATTAGTTACGGAGATCTAAAAATGATACCAAAACAATTAAAATTTTAATGCACATTAATGCCAACTTAGAGAAACATTCTTTTAAGTTTTAACACTTATCCTTCCGAAAATGGGTTACTTTCCTTTTAACAAACTCCTCAATGTTTTCATAACATTGCCATAATAACTTACCCTCTCTGTTTCTTTTTATAGGGAGTTCAATATTTTTGCACACTTATTCGAACACTGTTTAGATATAAATGTTGACCCAAAGATACGAATTAACCTCTTTTTTTTCAAACCATGTAATCTAAAACCCCTCATCTGAAGTCCCAATAGATCTCGTTGCTCTAAGTATATTTTTCAATCTAAATACACTTAATACAGTTGATTGCATATCATGAATTACACTTACAAAATCAAGACAGTGGGGGTAAAAATGAGGAAAAGGAAATTCGTTCTCTTTGGGTTTTTTGGGTTTCTTGGAACCAACCTCTCTACTCATAGTGGGGTTAAGGTTCGCGTACACACACCCTACTATCTCTATTCTGTAATCCAGAAAAGCTTCAAGTTACAAGAAACATTTTTATATAAAAGAAGTGGATGTTGTTATAAGGAACTTGTGACATACCATGTCGACCACCGTTTGGCTGGAGAGAAATTCAAACACCCCATCACTTGCGACTACGAAAAATGGATAGTTAGCTGTTAACTGTACTGTCAATACCTCTGGAATAGCAACAACACCAATCTTCTCAGCTATACAATCCCCAACACTGCGCGTGAATGCAGTCCCCGGGTACATCCCATTCTGAAACCACAACCTAGGTGGGTCCCCACCTTCCACCTCATCATCCCACGTCTGAACATCCGGATCCTTGAGCCCCTCAACTTGGTCAACACTCAGAACCCTGGCCCCACAAAGCTTCACCCTCTCGCATTCGTCTCTCCTGAAAGGAGTCTGGTCAGAAGACAGATCTTTGGCCACAACTTTGTTCCCTTCCTTGACAGCCAGCACGGCCCGCGAGTCTCCCACATTCGCAACGTACAGCATGTCCCCGACGACTAAAGCCGTTATAGCAGTAGTCCCACTCATAGAATCATCTATGTCACTGTTGTGAAGCTCCTCGTTAGTCGTCAAGAATGCAGAATTGAAAGCCTTGACGGGGTCTTCTATCAAAGTGGGATCATTTGATAGCACATCGACTAACCTATTCTTAACAAAAACTGAGCATTCTGTCCCAAACTGTCCGTGCCCGTCAAAGACACCGCAGAAATGGACATGGGGATTTCCCTGAAGCTGTGATTTAATACAATAGCTATCTTGATTTTCCTTTTCAGGGGATTCGGGGTAATGACCACGTCGTGTAAGAGCATAATACTCTAACCTCAAGTTATGAGAAGGCACATGAGCAATGCATGAAGGCCCAGCAGCAGATGTATGGGGTTGATCTGAAACAGCACCCAATGCTTCCCTGTTATCCGTGTCCGAAGATGAAGGTCGTCTCCTGCAACATTTCCCATGAATACACCCCATTTCTCAACCCGAATCAGAGTATGAACAGAACAACCCCTAAACCCCCAGAAAGGGTTTGGTGAGAAATTTCTAACAAATGCCAAGCAATCCCTCAAACTGCCAAGAAAGCAGATTATTCAGCGAAAATGGTCAAATTGTGCCTTCACTGAGTTGGAGCATGGACACTAAGAGATGAACATGATTCATGATTCGAAATCAACAACTGGGATTTTCCCAAATTGCAGTTTTGCTTCAAGGGCATGGGTTTTCAAGAAGACCCATTTCTTCTTGAAGATATCTATCCGGCTATGAACAAACCCTAGAAACCGCAGAAGAAGAAAAAAAGAATAGTGAATCCACCAGAAAACTCTTCAAGGTCAGAATGAGTCAATCCAGGCGAAAGGATTGAAGACAAAGAGGGTGACCAAAGAACCCTACACCATATACCGGAGAGCTATTATTGGGGAAAAAATGAAAAAAAAATCAAGAAATGGAAAGATCAACGCAAAGATGCAAAAGGCGAGGGAGGATTGTGAGGAGATCGTGCAAGAACTTTCCGATGAGATTGTGGGGTATGTTTCCAGCTTATCAAAAGGAAGAAAAAAAAGATTATTATTGAGATACAATTATGTGTAGTAAATCTTGATTATTACATTGCATTTGGGTTAATGTGAGAAGAAGAAATGGGATAATGGAAAGGTGAAATTAGGGATTTGGGGATTGCGAAGATGGAGATTAGTAAGGGGGGTTTAGTGTTTGCGTGTGAAATTAACCATCTTTCATGCTGCTAATTCTAAATTTCTAATGCATGAGAAGGAGGCCATTTGTGCGTTACCTTTCAAGGGAGCAAGGCATAAAGGAGGATAGGGAGAATTTACACATTATGGGGCACCTTTTGAGTCTTTTGCGTAGTCTTAGAACACAATGAGCTTGTTTTGGAACAGCGTAAAAGATTAACGCTAGTGTTTTGGATAAAATTTTAACGGTGTAGATTACTTTGAAAACGCTAGCACTAAACATTGTCCGTAGATAATTTTTTCAAAACACTAAAGCTAATCTCTAACGTTATGCTATTACCATACATGCCCGCTATCAATAAGTTAATTTTTACTAATTGAAAAACAATGTTCCCGGACAAAACTTATATTTATATTCGGATGTAACTAAAACTTTATATCACATAAATCATAAATGAATATATAGTAATTTTGTAACATGTATACTCTCAATATATATCAAAATAATAAACGTGCATTCTAAAAAAGTCTACAATAAAGAATTATGATTTTAAAGTTCACACGTGAAATGTGGACATTCTCATATATTTAAAGTGATCATAATTGAATTTCCATTTTTTACAAGGCCCAACATATATAACTACGGAGTATTTCATATATTAAGCTCCATATAATGACCATGAAGCTAAGGACTACTATATATTTTGCTTACAACTGACATCGAAAAGAGACTACACGTTACATTCATTGGAATTTTTACTTTAAATATATAATTTTACTTTTTTTCTCATTCTTGTTAATAATTTGATTGATATTCATTATAGATTAGAAAAATGTGTATTTTATAAAGTACATACATACTACTTTTGTACTAGAATATTTATCTAATTTTGATTTTTTACAATCAACTACTCTGAGAGAGAAGAATTATATCTTATAATGTGCATATTTTGCTAAAAAATATGAATGCAATGTATGGAATAAATATTGTATACATTGTAAATGTGCATGTGTGTGAGATGCAAAATTTTGCATTAGTGTGATGAATATTATTTTACGAACAGAGCGCCCCCGGATCATCCCATGACATTGGTTCCCAATGTCATGGGAGCCTTGCCCTAGTTAGTTAGCAAATGTGCATAGTGCAAAGTGCACACATATATTTATGTGCGTATTATGAAAAAAGTATTTAAACCATTAATCTCTGAAATGAGTATTATTTCACACATATATCACAGCTTGTCTAACCTGAATCTATATGTAATATAAGCGGGTCAATTTGATACTAAATTTCAGTTTGATACTAAATTGGTATCTACATATAATATTTATCAACAGTATAATATATTTTTAAAATTGTTTAAGTTCAAATATTATTTAATAGCAGTTTATCGAAATAATGTAAAATAATATTTACATGCCATGACACAGTTGGTAGGTTTCATTGGAAAATATAATAAACATTATCCATGTTTTTAAAATCAAATTTAGGCCCCGTTTGGCATCAGCGTTAGAAATTAGTGTTATCGTCTTGAGAAGGCTATCTGACGGTAGCCTTTAGCGTAACCGTTTTCTGAATTAATCTACACCGTTAATATTTTATCCAAAACGCTAATGCTAATTGAAAACACTCTTCCCAAACAAGGCCTTAGTTTCTTATGAAGGTTAAAAGGATACAGTCTTCTTACACAATTTTAAACATTTACTAAGTTTTTTTTGGCACGAAAAATGAGGGCAAACTGAAGATTTTTTATTAAATATATCCTCCTATTTATAACAACAGCAGGAAAATTGTCCCGCCTAAAATTTTGAGCCGATTAATGTAGCATTGGGCCGATCTTTTTCTAAAGTAAATCAACATTATGGGCCTGCATGATTTTTTGTTGGAATATACTTAATATTTTAAGTTTAAAAATTCAATAGTATTCCGTTTCAAACATTAAAAACAACATACTAAACAATCACATCTCAACCATCAGGACATTTTTTATGCTTTTAAATCTAATATTATCAAAATCCATTATCTTAAATTTAAATCCATTAAATTTAAGCAAATTAACATAAAACCATAATATTTAAAGAGCTTTTCTTAATTATTACAAAAACTAAGTAAATGATATTCAAAAAACATTTTAAAAATGTTTTAGTGATTATTACATGGGCAGTTTTTATAAAAAAAAAATAAAAGAACACACCACTCTGTGCTACCAAAAAATAGGAAACTTAACTTATATTTTTATACAACACAAATAATAAACAAATAAAAACAATAAAAAAACTGCCTATACGTGTGGTTTCACACCCCTCCACTTCCCCTAAAATCTAGACAGCAACCTCCCACCCCTGCACCACCTCTCCACCACTCTTACTACCTATTAAAGTCGGGCAATTCCGTATGGTTCCACATAGCATTATCACAATCCATTCCCATCCTGCAAAGGAAGAAAACAAAAATGTCAGATGCATCAAGTGGAAGGGGTGGCCTCTTGTCATATTTGAAAGATTTGGATAACAACAAACAAGATTGGGCAATTTGAATGAGAGTTGTTAGAGTTTACGACAATCCTACCCGTTTAGGAAAAGAAAACACCATGGAAATTATTTTCTATGATTAAGAGGTATTTGTGTGTTACACATATTCACTGAAAATTTTGTATAGGGTTATGTTTAAAAGTTTAACCATGTTCATTTCTAATATTCATGGAACCAGGATTCTTGCCCAAGTCAAGAGAGCACAACTGGATTATTTCAAACCGAATATCAAAGAGGGAAGAGCTTGTTAAAGTGAAAGTGAATATAGTCAAAGCAAGGCCACAGACAGTCTGTCCGGGACGGGCCTAAAAAATTAAGGGGCCCAATTTGATTTTTAATATTATGTACTCCGTATATATTATATGCATAAGAAGCCCAGCCCAATTCTCATCCTCTTCTCTTGGTTACTGGACTACTGGAGAGACACAAAAGAACCGAAAGGCAGGGACTGAGGCACGACGGAACTGACGGAAGAACAGACGAACTGACGAAGACAGGACTCAGATACGCCGCCGCCGCCAGACGCACCGCCGGACGCCGACCCTCAAGCTCCAGCCTCCAGGTATTCCGTGTTTTCTTAATTATTTCTTAATTTTCTTTCGTTGTTTCATTCTTTAGATTTAAAATTCAGGGTTAATTATAAATTTTTAATTTAAATAGTCTTTTTAATTTCTATGAAACAGAGTGAATTAATGGTTCTATATGTTATTTGGATGAATTGATTTAAATTTGTTATATATCTGTACATACAAAACTGAAAATTTAAAAAATATTAAAAATAGAAAAATTGATGATTTGATATGAATTTATGATATATATAAAAAATTAAAACTGAAAAAGAAAAAAAAATTGACGAATTGATATGAATTTATGATATTGTGTTAATTATAATTTAAATATAATTAGTTTACATATGTTAATTTGTTAGATCATTAAGGATAAAACTTTTAGTACTTTTTTTCTGTTTCGGCTCAGGCCGATGAATCCTCAGGACCGGCCCTGAGTCAAAGGGGTATATATTTGCATTTTTTTAATCTGGCATAAGACATTAATTAATAATGTAACTGAACATATGATTTCCCAAGTATATATACTGCAGCATAGTCAAAGGAGTATATATTTGCATTTTTTTAATTTGGCATAAGACATTAATTAATAATGTAACTGAACATATGATTTCCCAAGAATATATACTGCAGCATAGTCGAAGGAGTATATATTTGCATTTTTTTATTTGGCATAAGACATTGCTGGAACATGTTAACTATTTTTAAAATGCATTAATAATGTAACTAAACAATGTCATTACAAAGCGATGTGTAGTGAAAACATCGAACATTTTATGTCATCCATTATGGGATTATTGTGTAATTAAATAGTGTGTTTTAAATATGAATTAGGCCCCGTTTGGCATCATCGTTAGAGATTAGCGTTAGCGGTTTGAAAAGGCTATCCGACGGCAGCTTTTAGCGATAGTGTTTTCAGAATTAATCTACACCGTTAAAATTTTATCCAAAATGCTAACGCTAATCGAAAACGATGTTCCCAAACGAGACCTTAGCTTTAGGCGGTACATGATAATTCAATCTCTTAATTAATTTTTATTAGTTGTAATTTTTTAATTTGATGTCATCACAATGCATTCTAAATGCTTCTACAATAATCTTAGTTCAAAGTTTTTTTGTAGTGGACAAGTATTTACTTCATTTTATTAGTCGCTTAATTTATTGTTTTTGTGACTTCAAATACCAATGATGACGAACATGTGGTGGTAGCGGTAGTGACAGTGTGGAAGTAACATTAGTGGTGACAGTGTGGAGTGAGAGTGACAATGGAGGTGAAGGCTGTACAGTAGTAAAAGTGTGGTGGGAGTTTAGGCATGGTCACGGTGGTCATTACAAAAAACTTGACCTTTTGTGTTTAACTTCTATTAGTAGAATATGTTGGTCTTATGGGAGACCATCGATCACCCTTAGGGATTCGCTACTGTGCTTGTCACAGTATCGGGTATTGACAGCCCAACCTAACGAGGTACAAGAGTCGTGTATCCTGTGGAGCCCCTCCTGTCCATCCACCGCTCAGTAGTGGGCTCTGCACTGCCGTAGTGAACTATAGGGGGTGCCCTATAGGAATCTACCTCGGCTTGGGGTACAGAGAGATGTGGTTAAATACAAAGTGTCCACCTTCCTATCACCAATTGGTTTTAGGAAGCATTTGGCACCTCTTAACTTCAGAATTCTGTAGTTAAGCGTGCTGGAACGGACGTAGTCCCAGGATGGGCGACCCCACTGGGAAGTTCTAGAAAACGATCCTACAGAATAATGCTACAATATGTAAATAGTTTACAAATATTTGTGGCAATTTGAAAGAGACAACTTTTATCTATATTTGAAATTTTAATACAAAATTATATTTATAATGTAAAGATAAATAAATTAACCATCGTCACCATGCATTGCACAACACCACTGTCATTTGCGAGTGCACCATCATCCTTGTCACATAGCCATCACAATGCCACAATCACATTGTCATCCCATTTTTACCATACACCGTCACTGCACTACTTTTGATACACCACAACAACCGCCGCCACATTGCCACCATCCCAGTCATCACACTGCCGCTACCCTACAATTTCTTTTCTATTCTGTCACACTCTCACCAACACATTGAGTGCCACTGCCACAATGCCACTATCACTTTTACACTGTCACGGTTATCACTCACACTTTCACCTTCACCACCCACACTTCTTTTGTAATCGGAATCAAGTTGAAACAAAATAGAATAAAAAACACGTGAGATAATTTGCAATCGACAGACGATAGATAAATAACTGCCATATTAAATCTAGCCAATCATCCGAAGCCTATCGAGCAATGCAAACAAAGAACACAATTAAATAAAGAAATTGACACATGACAAAGGAGCTAAATTGATGAGATGAACATAATCAATCACCATGAATTGCCAAACCAAAGTCATCCACTGCCACCGAAAGCTCTGCCCATGTAACGACCTTAAAACCCGCTTAGTAGTTAGCCGCTATTTTTAATAAAAATAGATATAATATTTATTTAACAAAAAAATATGAACTATTTGTAAAGTTGACCTTTTTATGTAAAAAAATTATGTTTTTGGGTAGATCTCGTAAAATGGTTTCTAACGTTATATAATTTGTTAAGTTTGAGTTTACGTGTAGCGCATGAGGAGTAAGATAGATGTTACAATTCAATAAATAAATAAAAGAATTTTATAATATAATATTATTATATTAATAATGCTTACCCAAATTCCTAACCTTATGCGGATTTTAAAGAAACAAACAAGCCCAAAAGTAATCCCAAATCTACCTTCCCTGTTTTTTCCCAAATCCCAAATTCCCAACCTTCCCTGTTCTTCCCCTTTACCGCGGACAGACCAGAGGCCAGGAACAAGGGTGGTTCGCAGTAGGATTTATACTGTGATTGATTCATGTTTCTTCTTTAATCTAATCGAGGTAAGTACGTGGACAACCCATGTATAGGTTTGAAAAGGTTCCTAATCTTGTATGATTGATTATGTGGAATATGATAATTGTTTGGGAGAGTGAGTGGTGGTTTATCTTTCGCTAGAATTTATTCGTAGAATTTGTTCGTTTTTATCCAAGGTCCAGCCTTACTTGCTGAGTTGTGCTTATAAATGTTTTGTCTCTTGGTCTCAAATTCAAATCAGGGTGAGTAACAGATGTTCTATCAGAGCGAAGTTGAACACACATTGATATTGCCCCCCCGCCTCCTCGGTCTCAAACTAGAGGAAGCTATCAAGGAAGAGCTTGAGGGCCTCTTCGTGGACAAGGTTTTCCCTTTAAATTTCATCCTTGCCGTGTTTATGCCGTTCATCAATCATTTCTGTTTTTATTTTTTTTCAATTTTGAGATTGGTTATTCTGATCTTTGTCCGTGCAAGGTTATTCCAAAATTAGGGCTTTGTATCTCTGTTTATGACATTCGCTCCATTCATGGTGGTTTTATTCTCCCGCGAGACGGCGCATCCACTTATACGGTATATGTTGACTTTAATGGTGGTTATGTATGGTGGTTAAATTTAAGTTTTCAAGTTTCATTTGTTGTCAAGACAACTTTTTGGTTTATGCATATTAGTCCAAAGACTCTTAAGTGAACCAAGGTGCGTCTTAAGGGGAGAGGCTTATATCAAACCATTGTGCGCCACATAGAGGCGTTTTTTGAAGTCTATTTCCTTTTATAATCTATAAATAGAGATGTACTTGGGGAATGGTGGAACAGGATGAACAAGTTAGAATTTGAGAGGAACGAAAACTTAAGCATATATCTTCACAGCTATGATACTTGACAACTTAAGCACTAATGCCTGAGTTTACATCCATCATGTTGTCGTTTGTTAAAATGTTAGCAAACCAAGCAGCCCATGTTTTGGTTAAGGAAATAAGGAGTCTGGTTCTATGTCTGATTTCACAGAGTGGGTTTCTGTCCTTCCATTTCTTTATAATATACTTTAATTATTCACGATGAATAAGAGGGGTGATTGGTTTAAAAATATATTTTAGGAGCAACAGCGAGTGTTGTCTTCTGAATTCGATCCCAGAAGTTTTTTCAACTTTTCTGTAATCCAGTGCTCCGTAGGGTTGACATTAAACTTATAAAATGCGTTCATTTTATGCCTTGAAGAATCATCCCATCATATTTAATTTGTAGACTATTGCTGCTTTAAATCCGATGTTGTACATGGGAGGCTAAAACATGGCTCTGGTTTTTGTGTCACAGGTGAAATTCAGACTGATAATGTTTCGCCCATTTGTGGGAGAAGTCATAGCAGCAAGGCTGAAGGAATCCACTGAGAATGGTTTACGTTGTATGTGCCTTTCAAACACTATACAAGATCCACTTGTTGGGGTTAAAATAATTTGATAGGACTTGTCCCTTTGTTGCAGTTTTTTTTTTTTTTGAAATTTTATACCCAAAAATATATTTCTTTTTATTTTTTTGGTGTAGTATCGCTCGGGTTTTTTGATGACATATATGTACCTGCTGCTCTGTTGCCAAGTCTTTCAGAGTTTAAACCTGACCCAAAAATGCAGTATGCATATTACTCCTTTATGTGTAAAATAATGACCATTCTGATGCAACAAATACTTGATTGATTAAGTAAAAAATATTTTAAAATCATATGCTATCTTTATCTTCCTGTTTTGATCCCTGTTTTTTTCTTCTCCCAATTAATTTAGAAACCAGAAAAGGTGGTTCTGTTACTCCGATGAAGATTTGGTCGTTGATGATGAAAATGAGGTTAGTGTTATACGTCACACTCTCTCTTTTCGTTTTGGAATGATCCATCATCCATATTTGTGTTCTTATTTCCATTATATTATTGGAGACAGGGTCACACGATAGAGTACCGAAGGGCGATGATTATCTTCCCTTTTCTTTTCTCTCCCTTCTCTTTATTCCCCCCAGCATTTTACTAATTTTATACCATTTCATTACTTTTGTAAACGATTACGTCTCTTAAACTACATGTTCATGCAAGACTGAACACCACAATGGACCGGAGGGAGTGTGTGTGTGTGTGTGTGTGTAATCTCACTTTTATTATTATTATTGTTGTTGTTGTTGTTGTTATTGTTATTATTTTTACATTATGATTTATGACTATCAAGACTAACACTTTGTGTTCTTATTATTATTACTAATAATGTCTGCAGATTCGATTCCGAGTTCACACTGTTAGCTACCCTCCAATGCCTCTCAACCAAGATAAAGCATCCAAGCCATTTGCACCAATGTTAATTACGGTACACATTCTCTTTGGCACGGAATCCTCTGTCCCCAACCCCTGTCCCAACTCCATGTCTCACCAGTTTAATTGTGACACATAACCCACTCTGCTCCTCATGGAGTTGGGGACATTGGACTGTATACAATTAGTCCCACAAAAGTAGGGTTTGAGAACTATTTAATGTGGTTAATTACTTAGTTGTCCTTGGTGGTTCGGTGTGAAACATTGTAGGGAATGCTTGATGCGGATGGCTTAGGACCCGTTCCGTGGTGGGAATGATTTGTCTCCCCTAGCTAGTGTCGTCTTCATCGAGTGTTATGGTTATATCATTGCAAGTTATAGAAGCAATTCTGAAGATTTTAGTTGAGAAGTAATTGAATTGTTTTCTCCTTTTCATGTTTCAAATAATAATAGTGTTTGTTTTTATTTACAGTGGGTTAATTTCAAAGTGTTCGGAATTGTAGAATTCTACATACATAACCCATGCACATTTATCACCCCTTGGTATTTGCATTCACAACTTTATGGAATGAAACCTCGCCAAGTCCCTCATCCTCTAAGAATATTGTTTTTGAATTGTCCCAAAATAATTTTTTAAATACAGTATAAATTTTATAAATTAACAATGGAATTTAAAAATAGATGATATATTTAATAACTATATCTACAATGTTATATGACAAAAGGTAGCATGATATGTTTATGTATGCTTATAAGCTGATAAACTACTTATAAACTAAAAAAAATAAGTAGGTTTTAGCTACTTATTTTATAGTCAGTTTTTATTTTTTCATTTTGACCAAATTATTTACAAATTTGTCTCGTCAATTATGAGTGTTTCCAAGTGAATTATCTATTATATGTTATTTTAATGCAATAAAATAATATTTGATTTATAAGCAGCTTATAAGTAAAAAATGTTTATAAGCATTAAGCCAATAAATAGCAGCACAAAAGAGTACCTCATTATTAAATGGTGAAATTTGTACTAAATATTGTAAATAGTACTAAAAATATGTCTTTTTCCCATGTAATATTTAAAATTTTTTATTACTTAAATAATACTTGAAGACAGTGGTGGTGGTGGTATTTACTTAGAACAATGTCTAGTAGCGGTGGATATTTAGTTAAACAATGTCCAGTGATACTACATTTATAAATTAAAGCATATGACATTACATTGAAAAATTCACTATATTTTAATACTCCTTCCGTTCTAAAACTTTCTTCCTAGAGCACTATTTCAACTTCACAGGAATTTATATTTATTTGTGTTTTTTCATGGTCTATATGATAAAATAAAATATTCTTGTCACCACTTGTTTTGTTGAACTTTTGATGTACTTTTTAAATATGTATGTTTTATTTTTTATTTATATACCAATATTTAAATAAAATAGATTGAAAAAACTTGAATTTTTTTTTCGTTTTGCGCAACGGGAAGAAAGATATAGGACGGAGGGAGTACTATATAAGTAAATTCCCCCGCTAAAAGATTTGCCACGTTTTCTAATTTGGCTTAGAGTAAATTTCTTAAAAGGTTCCCAGTTATAGGTCATTTTACATATTTAATTCCTATATATCAAATATTACTCCCTCTGTCCCATTTTAAATTGCATGTTTGCTTTTTTTCTCTGTCCCAAAATAAGTTGTCTGTTAGTTGTTTTCGTAAACTTCTAAAAATAAAGTACCTAAACTAACTCTAAAATAAGTCACTTTTCTTCACTTTATCTTCTCATTCATCATCACCCCTCCTAAAAAGTAATGATAATTTTGGAAAATCAATTCTATTTTTTCTTTTCCTTAAATATGCCCAAAAGTCAAAACAGACGATTTAAATTGGGACAGAGAGAGTACTAATTTAGTTCCTAATTATTATATCCATTTCCATGAATGGTCTCTTGTTAACATTTCTGTTAAGAACGTGAATAAAATTATAAATTCACACTCCTTTCTCTCATCAATTAAGCTTCATCCCTCCCCTTGAACACATTTCCCAAACCCGTCGTTGAGTTTGAAGCTTTGAACCCAAAACCTAAATCATCACTCTTCTCTCAATTGTTTATCTAACTGGTGGAACCCAAATTCGAAACCAGTAACCTTCATGGATGAATTTTAATGCTTATTTTCTTTGTAATTTCTTGAGACTAACCGATAAAACTCATCCATAAAGCTTATTGGTTTTGATTTTAGGTTCCACCAGGAAAACTAATAATTGAGAGAGGAATGATCATTTTTGTTTTGGGTTTAGAGCTTCAAACTCAGCGCCGAGTATGGGAAAGACTACGAGAGAAGGGAGGAAGCTTAATTGAGGAGAAAGAGAAGTATGAATATACAATTTTATCCATGTTCTTAACAAAAACGTTAACAAAAGATCATTTGTGAAGAATGATATAATAATTAAGGACTAAATTAATAATATTTGATATATAAGGATTAAATATGTAAAACGATCTATAACTGGGATGTTTTATGGAATTTACTCATTGACTTATCTCTAGGATAACATTGACTTTTTTTGTCCAACCTCTTGCTTCGTGGCAAGCGTGCTTAATTTGCCTGGCTTTATCATCATCTATTGATATTATTAAAGACTCATTCAATTGAATCTAAACAAATTTATATACTTCCTCATCCCAATTCAATTGTGTGTTTTAATTTATGATTTTTGACTGAAATTATTTTTATATTATTTTATATAAAAATGGTATTTAATTAAAAAATAAACATTATATATTAAAAAATTATATCAAAAAATCTATAGATCTAGTGATGATATGACCATATTATTTTATTAAATGACTAATAAAAATAAGAAAAGAAATTGAATAAATTTTAATTCTGCGAAGGTAAAAGATGCAAATGTGACACCAAAAAGAAGCTGAATAAAATTTAATCCTGTGATACCAAAAAAATTAATCAATCCATACACATCACCGGCTGGTATATGCATTCACAAATCTTGATGAAACCTCGCCCAAGTCCCTCTCATCCTCCTAAAATATTTTTTAAATTGTCCCAAAATAATTTTTTAAATATCGATTTTAAAAGTTAAAAATGAAAATTTATTTCTTTCTGACAAACAATGAAAAATGTGATGGGGAATGATCTTCCTCGAATTTTTTTTCTCAACAGAATATTTTTTTGGGAAACTATTTTTTCCCAACCAAAGAAATCCTAATACTTTTCCCAAACCCTACGCATGGACCACACATATCATCACACAAATTCCGGATTAGTACCATAATATTGGCTCTGAGTCAAACTCTCACCGATTTATTTTTTAGCTCTTTCCAAAAAACCTCATACTAATAAGGTTGAGTAATCATATAAATTTCAATCACCTTTTTACTATTTCTATGGTGTGGAAGGAGTTTGCCACCAAAAAACAGCTTATGCATATAAATGTAACCCTTCACCCTGTCCAACTCTAGCGAGCCTTAACGAAGACTAGCAACAACGTCTAGAGAAACGTTTAAGTGCCACCCAACTTTATTGGGAACAATAGTCGCCACAACCAAACCTATTAACCATCAATTTTATGAATTCTGCACCACAAACATCCAATTGGAGCCGTGTAACACAACATGAATATCTTTAGAACCCTATAGAAAACACAAATGACATTTTTTTGAAAAAAAGCTATGAGTACAAAATGTAAATATTCTATAAATAGTAAACAAACAATTTAATTCAGAATGAAGAGAGTACATAAAAACACATCGTCTTAGCAAACCTTCCACTACACGAAGAACAAAAATACTTCTCAATACCATCCCCCACATTCACTTACACAAAAACAAAAGCTTCTTTAAAAATAACCAACAAAAAAACACAAGCCAAGTATATTGTATATTAGGATCTATGTGAATTTGATGTGTAAACTCGTAACACAAACATAAACAACATTTTGTGTTCTGACTATTGTGACAATTGTGGTGGTACATGAGACATTATCAAATAACATGCCATTCTTCTTTGACATAAATATGAACCTCAAGAACACACAAAAGTAAACTTGGGCTGTTGCACAAATATAGCTTTTACAAAATCACTGCTATTAGTTGTGATCATGAATGCATGTAGACCAGATTTTGCACAAACTCTTTCCTTCCTGTTGCATTTATTATGTAAAATATAATAATAAAATCACTGGTTGGTCACACACTTGGAACAATTCCATCAGTCTCTGTTGTTTCTCTCCCTCTCTCTCTTGCGAGCCAGCTCTCGTCCCATCTCTCTAATTTCCTCCTGGGTTGGAGGCCGGGGTCCTTCTGGCGGATACACAACATATTGACGCTTCACGACATGAAATATAAAGAAAGAGCTTCAGAATTTTTGCAAGAATATATCTACAGACTTTGTACTGAACAATTCTCTTCATCTTTTCCACTTAATACCACATCAAAGTGCAAACGAGTCAACCGTATTATGCTGCTGTAAACACACAAAAAAAGCTCAAATTGGGAGTAACATTTATTTATAGTATAAACTGAAATAGACAAGTGCATATCTACTTTTATGAGAAAGTCTATGCAGAGACCGAGGAAACACAATACTAGCACGCAAGCAAATAACAGAAGTACAAGAGGAGACAAATATTGATTTCCTACTAGTCTGTAATTTTTAAAACAGAAAGAGCATAAATATAATAAACATCAACAACAACAACAACAACAACCCAGTTAAATCCCACAAGAGTAGGGTCTGGGGAGGGTGTGTGTACGCAGACCTTGCCCCTACTCGAAAGTAGAGAGGCTGTTTCCAAAGAGACCCCCGGCTCAACGTCGAAAGTTGCATTGCTTAACTAACTGCTACTTCATTAATTAAAGAAGCGCAGATAGTTTAGAGATCCATTTTGATTTATTCCATCACACCCCAAAGCCAAAAAAATGGTGAAATTTTGGCTCCATCGGAGATGATGGAAAAATGTAATATAATAAACATATCAAGAGGAAACATGTAAGATTTTCTACACAGAAAGAGCATAAATACAATGAACGTATCAAAAGAAAGAGCAAGCATGTAAGATTTTCTACAATTTTCAATCAGTTTGCAACTTCAAAAGGAGCCCATTTCATTGTTCTTATCAGGTTAATATCTGTTGTGTAGGCCATTGGCTCGCACAATATTAACTCAAATTTTAAAAAGGAGAGCCCATCAAAGTAGCTTGCTACTTGGACTTTCAAGTTTTGCCTTGGACTTGCACCATTTTCTTGGCCTGGCACACCCCACCCCAGGAAAAAAAGCTAATAGAAAATTTAGCTTGTTTTGGGTTGCTTTTGCTACAAGCAAAAAGAGATCACTCAAAGGACACAATTGGTATGTAGAAATGCAAAAATTGTTTCTTTTCATGTTCCATAGTATAGAATTTTTCATGTTCTACAAATAACAAGAGTTTTGGTCCAATCAAGGGTAAATGGTCATTCAAAATAGCTAGAAGTTTAACTTCATACCACGAGCATTAAGAATCTGTTAATCCAAACAAAAGACAGTAACACAAGTCAATTAATCCAAATAAATACATCTAACATCAGCTACCTGTCAAAATAATTACTTCCTCCATCCAAAGTATTTCTTCATTTAGACTTCACATTTTTTGAGGAAAACTGGACGAACATGATCATCATTTAATAAAATTTGCATTGCATATTAGTACAATAAAATAATTTTATGAAATTCCTTTGTATGACAAATCTAATGATATCATTTTTGTATTAATATGCAATACAGTTTTTAGTTGATTGATTATTAAACTTTGATCATGAAAGTTCGTGTATTTGACTACAAAAGTGAAACTGAAGAAATACCTATGGGACAGAGGTAGTTTTTTATTTCTAGACATCAAAATTCAAAGCATGCATACCGAAAGCATGCACTTCAAATTCTGAATGCACCTCACAGTCTCACACAATTCACACACTAGTTTTACGCAAGCGTGCGCGCACACACACACACACACACAGAGAGATCTTTACCGTGCCCATAAGTTTCTGAAGATTTTTTGTATTGTTCGCGAAGAAGTACATGAGACCAATAGGTACGGAGACGTATACTGCGAATTTAGCAACTTCTAACAATCCCTTTGATGTTCCCACAGAAGACATCCTTTTTGTTTCTTCAACAGGCAAGATGGATGGAAGATCAGCACTTCTTCAGGTTCTCTGCGCTAAAATCCTATAGATATTGGACAAAGACAAGGATGAGAGACCACATACGTGGCAGAGCAAAAGAGTCTTTAGTATGCAATATGTGTGGGAGTGCCCAATGAGAAATAATTTCTCATAGCATTTCATTATGCTTAGAAATTACAAATAAAATCAGATAAAGCATTTGCTTTTTTAATCGCTAACCATGTTAAGAACTAATATGCAGAAGCAAGCAACACAACTGAGTAAAGCAAGAAGATTCAATGATTCATGAAAGGTGTGAGTGTTAGGTAATTTAATTAATAACCTGGAAAATAAAAGATACAGAAAATACATTTCACTAAAGCTGAAATGCACATTGTCTATTCCAACGGTTGGTGACAACTAATCCCTCTGTGGAATTGTAATGATATTTGTATGAGGATGAACTTCAATCACATGAGTGCTGTTGCGCAAAGTCCACATGTAACTGCACTCCCTTCGTGCCTTTTAATCTTCTCATTTCAGATTACAATGTTTGACCAAAGTTATTTTCAAATCAATTTATATGAGTATTGATTTAAAACAACAACAACATCCCAGTTGAATCCCACTGCAGTAGGGTCTGGGGAGGGTGTGTGTACGCAGACCTTGCCCCTACTCGGAAGTAGGGAGGCTGTTTCCAAGAGACCCCCGGCTCAACCTGCACAAAAATATGGAAGGGAACACAGTAAAGCACGGGTAAAGCACCAAGTACAAGCAACAAGTACAAGCAATAGCAAAAGATTCCAAACAAACACAACACACTACAAACAACCTCTACAGTACCGAGCTCCTATCCAGCTACTCTAATCCTAGTTCTCCAAAGGTTCCTATCTAAGGTCATATCCTCAGTCAGGGTGAGAAGTCCTAAATCCTGCCTAATCACCTCCTTCCAATTCTTCCTAGGTCTACCCCTTCCCCTACTTCCCCCGATAACCGTAATCCTCTCGCATCTCCGTACAGGGGCGTCAGCATCCCGCCGTCTCACATGACCAAACCATCTCAACCTCGCTTCTCGCAACTTATCTTCCACTGGCGCCATGCGCCCTGCCTACCTGACGTCGGATAACTTCGTTCGAAATCCTATCCAACCTTGTCTTCCCACACATCCATCGTAACATCCGCATCTCTGCCGCATGCAGACGACGCACATGAGTCTTCTTAACCGCCCAACACTCTGTCCCATATAAGAGTATTGATTTAAAAATGAAAAATAAAATTTATTTCTTCAAAAACTGCTTTAAATGATCTACAAAATAAGTGATGATGTCAAATACTCAATGAAAATAGGTAAAGAATGTGAATTAAGTTAGACCCTATAAATGGAAAGATTATTTAGGGACGGAGAGAGTACTTATCATCCCATATGACATATAAGGCATGTGCTGGTTATACTTTATATCCTTGTCATATGTAACAATATATAAACACAATTGGATGTCCAGAATGCACACTTTAAGTTTTTACTTACATAGTTACATTGGTCATGGAACCAATTGTATTGATCCTGATTCATGACAACTAGTCAACATCATCATAAACTATACTTCTTAAGTATGTACTGCCCTTCCTTTTGGTTTGCGATATCTCTACTTCTTAACCACAACCAGCAAGTCTATCATCAGATTTAGGGGTGGGCTCAGTATTATAAGATATGTCTTGTAAAGTTGTACGTGATTCTTCCCATCTCTGATTTAAACATTCTCAATGAAGAAAAGTAATAACAGAGAGACAGATCCACAAGGAATATCTCAGCAAGGGGTAAAAGAGGAAACAAGAAAAAATCAATACAACTTTGTCTTGTAAGAACCTGGCAATACATTACAATGAGACAGAAAGGTATGACAACAAGCATGAAGTGCAATGGCAATATCGCAATTAAGACATGCAATGTGCTTCAAAACTAAACTCCGTATTTATCTTGCTTCTGCCTATACAAGAAAGGCCATAACATAACCATAAACTCAACCATTTTGGAAGTGTCACCAAATAAATCATCCCAAATTAAAGATGTTCAAGCAAACAATACATCTGTGATCATTCCCTGCCTTTTTTTGAGTGGTTCACTACCATTCTAATCATTTGAAAGCAACAAGAATTCAAAACATTCCTTAAACTGGTAACAACAGGAGAATAGAAACATCAAACCCCACATACGTTCGTTCGCTAACATATAAAGAGCTCTACACATCAAACTAAAGTGTTGAACCAAAAACAGCACCATAAAGATTTCAAAATTCAAAAATTTCACGCAGCCTTAATCATGTAAACAGCATACCCTTCTGAAAGTATGTGCAAGCCAATTTTACTCCGACCATTAATTACTAAAAAGTTAGGTGTTCATTTCCCTAGTTGAATGTTCTCATCCTAACAAGAAATATCCAGCACCTTAAGCGCTAAATTGAAACCAGCCGAATTTTATCTCCAGCAAAACACGGAAACGGATTGAAATCACAAATCAGAAAAAATAATGATGGATCTGAAGCATTATGGGAAGGATTTGATTTTCGTGAAAAATATGAAACGGACCTTCGCCGGAGGAATCGAGCTGCGGTGGAAGGTCGTCGCCGGTGCTGCTGGAGGTGTTGTCGTCGTTGATGGTTTGCACTTTGCACGCCAGTAGTAAAGTTGGAGACGACGATAAGAGGCGGTGACTTGGTGAGAGTTAACCACAGACGAGATGGGTGAATCCTGACCATTAGATTGTTATTGAATAATGGGAGATGACCAAAATAGGAGTAAAAGAGAAAGAAAACCCCGTAAATAGAAGTCATATTTTCAAAATAGGAGTTCAAACTTAAACTCCTCTAAATAGGACTAAATAGGAGTAATTATTTAAATATGGGACGGATAGTGGCAGAGCAATCTTTCGAGACCAAGCCGCACTTCGATTGCAAGGGTCATGGTTAGTGAGGTTCAACTTGGTTCCCAAATTTCAGTGATCAACTATCTTGTGAATTGCTACCAGGGACCAAAAACATCCCCATTAAACTTAAATATCTTTCTACATGGATGTAAATAGATGAAAAAAAGCAGATATATAAAATAATCACTACTCAATCATTGAAAACGTACTCACTACTCAGGATCAAGATCCACCAAACAAGGAGGCACAAGTCATGCCACAATCACGGAGTATATCAAAGGCCATTTTTGACATTATGCATTAACATATGTGATATATAACATTATATATTGACATATCTTTCATTATGCATTACTAGGAATAACATTATACAATGTCAAGGTTGGCATTATATAATTAATTTGTTTAGCATTATGCATTGGCATGATTGCCATAATATGATTACATGTGACATTAAGTGTGGTCTTTTTTGGCACTGTATGGACATTTTAATTTAGCAATTTACTAAGTTTTTATATGTAAGGTATTGGTTCATTTTTGTTGATGAAGTTTTGGGTGTGTTTTGTTATTAAATTAGTTTTGTTTACATTCGAATTTGTTATTTTTTGTCAATTCAGTTTTATTAATGATTCAATAACAATTTACTGTAAATCAAGATGACCGAACGAGAGCTCTTGCCAACAACACGTAGCGTGATAATGTTGATGAAGTTTTTCTTTAATAATCATACGATTGATTTGGGCGAGAGTTTGTGAAACTACTTGGTAAAGCAAAGGTAATAGCTGGAGCATCTAGTTATAACATTATGTTCCCATGGAAGAGTTGAAGAGACACTGGCGTGTTTTAAGCAAATGATGAGGTGTTAAAATAAATTAAATTACATTTTTGACATTGCTGAATTTTTTTCTAATTTCTATTGTTGCCGAAGGTTGAGACTTGAGGCTTGGAATGTATGAGTGTGTAAAAGAGTATGAAAATTAATAATTTAAAAAAATAATTAAATAAAGAGGAAATTGAATGGAAGAGGGCCAATGGAGGTCCTAATTGGAAACAAAGGATTTGAAAATTCATGCATGAGGCAACTTTTAGTTTGTTGAGATTGAAATGTGTACGAATAAGAAGTTTAGATTGTGTTTTAGGTCGTGTGTGGCCAAATGTTCATCTTACTTTTTAGTTTGGGTTAGCCTGCGTGCCTTGGTTTGGGGTTGGTTTTCCCCTTTATGTATGAGGGTGTCCCGTTGAGGTGCTTGATGTAGTGGAAAGGTTGCTCCCATTCCTAGTTCGGGTATGCCCGTTCTATTTGTATATTCCTATTCTCTTTCTATTTACATTTTCCACAAAAAAAAGAAGTTTAGATTGAGATTTAGTTTTTGGGGTTAAAAAAATTAGAGTCATTGTAAAGTTTATTGGTTATTTGATAAAATAAAATATTCTTAACACCTCTTATTTCGAAGAAATTTTTCATGTAGTTTTTTGATATGTAAATTTTATTTTTTATTTCTATACCAATATGTAAATAAAATGAATTGAAAAAACTTAATATTTTGTCTTTGGGATACAAGTGTGATAAATATTTAGGGACGAGCTACAACATTTTTCATAGCATCTCGAGTGACGATAGCATGACTTGAGCATGGCGTGGGTGCGGTTGAAATAAATGTGGAATGCACCCCAAAAAAATGATAGTGCAAGGGTTGTTTATTGGTTAAATTTGGTTTTAAGATTTTATTGTGTGAAAAAATGGCAATCAATGACCAATTGACCATAGTGAAGTTCACAATAATTATTATTAAATGAAAGTTTATTATAATACCCTTAATGAAAATGAATAGAGTATATTAAATGAAGTAAGTGAGGTTTAATAAATAAAATAAGTGGGGGTAATTGTGTTATTTTAATTGTTAAAAAAGATAATGAGAAGATTTACGGTGGACAAATAAAAAAGGCTAATGAGAAGATCTATAAGGATTGAGGGAGTATGTAGGATGTGTCCTAACTACCAAGGATTTGGGGCCTTTCATCATTTTATGCATAATCCTTAGCGAATACTTTGTTTTTTCATGCTCAGATTACTTCAATTATTATACAATTTTATATAGTTAGGTAATAACTAAGAGCATCTTCATTAATGCAAGATGTTTAAGGAGTTGCTTAAATTTAAAAAGTGTATGTGGAGCACAGGGAAGCAACTAGTTGCTTCATTTTTCAACAGAGTTACTTAGTAACAAAAACAACTTCTATAAGCATTTTAGTTACAAAAGCAATTATATCATATTTAAAAATGGGATGCTTATAGGAGCTACTTGCTTATAGACTATAGAGAGTTCTTAAATAAGATATATTTGCTTTTGTAACTGGTTGAAAGATGGTAAGAATATGTTGACGAAAATAGTCTTATTATATTCAAAATTTTGGATCAAATTAATGGAATATCCATGAGGTATTTTTATTTTCTTGGTTTTCTCCAATGATTCTAAAAAATTATCTGAGATAAATTTGTATCTTTTCTGTGATGTTGCTTATTGACTTACTACTAATTAACCATTTTTAACTTATAAGATACTTTTAAGTTAATTATTCTTTTATGGAAAGAAAATGACTTAAATGATGGATAAATAATTTGTAAATATTCATAAATGATGAGGGACAATTTTTTAAATAATTTGATCAAAATGGAAACAAAAAACTAGTTTTAAAAAAAGTAGCTAAGACTTACTTATTTTTTCTAGCTTATAAAATAGCTTTTAAACTGGCTTATTAGCATATAGAAAATGTCATCAGCCTACTTATAAATTAAAAAACATGTTTATAAATAGTTTTGACCACCTTATAAGCCCTGAGAAACACCCACATAATGGAGCTCAGAAACTAGACTTGAATTTAAAATAAAGTACTACTTCAGTCCCATTTCGTTAATTTAAATATAAATTATACGGAGTAATTTAAATATTACCAAAAAAATTAAAACTAAATGAATATTCTCTGAGGCTCCGTTTGGTACGTGGAATTCAAACGATGAAATTGGAATTGAAGACTTTAATTCTAATTTTGGTGTTTGGTAGCACAAAAATTATGTTGATTTAAAATTGATAATACAAAAAATGAATTAGAATTGTTGGATTCAATTTTATGGAATTGAATTCTATTGAATTCCAATTCTAATTCAATTTCAATTCTATCAATTCCATATACCAAACGGACCCTGAGAATATTTTTTTATGTGAAGTTGTAGGATCGAAGCAACGTGTTTTGCCGGCCCAACATCGTTCATCATCATTATATATACCTTCTCAAAACTCGTCTTTGGGTTGAATGTATTGGGCCCATTGGGCAAAAATTGTTTGAATTTTCATAGTTTAATTTTATTATTTTTAACATTTATTTAGTTAAAAAAATACTCTGAGGCTTTGTCCAGTTTGATTTTTTTCGAATCAAACTGGATATATTTTGAACTTCAATTTAACAAAAATTATAACTTTATTAAGTGAAGATTGATTTTATCAAATTAAACTTGTTAAGAACTTTTTCAAAATTTTGTTTTATTGTACTAAAATATAATACAAATTGAGAATAATTAAAGTTTAAAATTTATCCAATTTGATTTAATTTGATAACTGTCGAATAGACATTGAATAATAATATTACATTGAAAAAATTTAGGGGTGAACAAATTAACCGGACCGACCGTGAAACCGAAAACCGAAATAACCGTAAAATCGGTTTCGGTTTCGGTTTTGCATGATAAAAATTTCGGGTATCTCGGTTTTTTCGGTCAGTTGTTGGTTATGGTCATCGGTTTATTCGGTTAACCGAATAGATATAAAAATAAAACAAATTAATAATATGCATTTTTAAAAGCCTAAATAAGATCGGCCCACTCCAAATTGAAGCATGAAACCTACACAACCCTATTTCGAACTGTAATTGTGAAACTGCTATTGGGAAACAAACTGACGCCGATTTGCGTGGGAACCTTCTTCCCCAAACCCCCATTGAGAATTGAGATGCGCAAAGCTGAAGCAGTGAAGCGGCTGAACTTCTTCCCCAGGTCGTCCGGTAGCCAAAGCTTCTTCCCCAAACCTGGACTGTTAATTTGGTGATTTGATATTTGTCCGGCGGCCTAATCTTATCATTTATTTTCTTCCTCTAAGTAAGTCATAATGATCCGTAAACCATGTTGAATTCCTCATACATTTTTTTCATTGAATCTGGCATTTCTTTAAGATTAATTAGATGGTTTTTATGAAAAAATACAAATTGTTTTGATTATTTTCGGTTAACAAAAAACCGACCGAATTGTTTCAGTTATTTTCTGTTTCGGTTAGTACGGTTTTGCCCCTAACTCGGTTCGGTTCGGTCGGTTATTGCATATCAATTTTTTTTTCGGTTAGTTCGGTTTTGGCCCGAAACCGACCGAACCGACCCGATGCTCACCCCTAAAAAAATTAATTAAAACCTATGATACTACATCGGTTATGTTTTAAAACTATATAAATTTCCCACAAATTTAATCAACTCTCACTTGACTACCGAGTGTTAAGCAAAAGTATAAGAGCAATGCTAGATTCACAAACAGAATACTCACAAATTTCACAAATTTACTATTTATATTTTTAAATCTTATTTTAAAATCATTTTAGACCATTTAATTTTTTTCATGGAAGTTCACAAATAGTAAGTTTGTGAAGTTTGTGATCATTTTGTTTGTGAACCAAGCATTTCCCAAAGTATAAGTACAAATTAACCAAACTTGAAATGTCATGCTCCCCCGTTATCAAAAACTCTTCCTCTTTTATTTTTTTACTTCCAATAAAACAC